AGAGCAGGAGTGTGGCCACAGAGGCTCTGTCAAAACAGGGAAGGTTGTCCGTTAGAAACCTTGATCCTGGCTCGGCTTGTGTCTTTGTACAGTCACATATTATTCAGGCAGGTGCTGTAATAGTGAATGGAAGACATGCACAACCAGGTAGGATGTCTGGTAAAATCCCTGTAGCGTACTAGTGTGGGGATTTATATTTGATGTCTAGATGTTAAAACCAATGCTCTGGTCACTGGATGAAAACTGTGAGATGCACTTCAGAGTTCAGGAGGGAACCTTTGAACTTAGATTATTCGAAGGGCCAGAAGGATCCTCCATATTCAAACCAGATACCTGAGTCTTCTGCTGTTCCAACAGGATTTAAATAAGTATAGTTCACCACTGACGCTCATCAGAGCTGTTTGATTGCAGACCGATCTCATGTTTGTCCTGTCTGTCCTCCACAAACTCAGACAGCAGCAGAGAGCACGAGGTTGTCAGAACGGCAGGCGGATAATCACATCCTGGACACCATCCCTTGACTTCTTCTGTTGAGACTGGTGCTGATGGTGGAGCCAGTTGCACAGAAGCTGGACCATGAGTCAAGACAAATCAGTGTTTCGATAGAGCTCCTTTTAAATGTAAAGACTCCATTTAAATACAGTGAGGAGGAAAGTGTTAAAGGGTCCATCCACCTGTTTCAATCGAATGCAAACATCAACACCCAAATGATTAAATGTTTGGTTAAATGTGTGCACACACACACAAAGCTCCCAGCCATGTTCTCATGTTCCAAACACCTTGGTTTGGTTTATTGGAATCGCATGTAAAATATATGTATGTATGTAAATGAGCATAAAAGACTATTCGGCTGTCTGGGAAAGAACCATAGAGCTCTGGTGGTGCTGCCACAGTCCAACCTTTATCAAGAGAGGAGCCATCATTACCAGATAGTTCAGAAGAACTCGGATCTCAAGACTCGGCACCAATGTGTGGTTGCATCCTGATGTTACAAAGCTTTGTTCCAAATGAAAGCCCAGAAAAGAAAAGGCGAAGATGGCAGCTGTGGACAAAGGAGAGAGATTCGTGACAGTGAACTAGCAAATGACTAGAATATAAATGCATTTGATCTCCAGTAGTGAGGACGCTGAAGGAGACACCCGATGATGTGAGTTTCGTTTTGACAGGAGCTGGTATGAGGCCTGCTTCAGTACAGCAGCACACACACTCAGCAGCCCTGCTGTGGATACACAACAGCTTCTTAAATGCATTCTATTGCCTGTGAATGTCCAGACTGGGTGTTGTCCTGATAAGTCCAAACCAGACTGGACGTATCAGCACAGGAGGACGACTCTGAGCGAGAGAGATAAGAAAAGACTGGGAGAAACCCTCAGCGCCTCTCTCTCTCTTGTGCGTTCTAAATTTGAATTCAAAATGAGCAACAACTTTAGTAAAATGTGCTTGAGTTCAAGACCTCACAAAAACATGTAAGAATACCGGCCTGACTGTGTGTGTGCATCTGTTACGTTTGGGGACATAGACCTGTTTACATCGTGCTACATGAATAAAGGTTACTACGATTAATTTTTATGGCTAGGGGACGTCTCCAGGAAGTCAATGTAAGTCAGTGTGAGTTCTCTGGAGCAATGGAAACTCCACTGTAGTGTGTGATGTGAAAGCTGAAGTCCAGATTGTGGAACATACCTGTCACCAGCTCCATCACCTCCCATCACACCTTGAAATAGTGAGCCTGTTCACACCAGGACACACACACACACAGCCTCTCCCAAGGGTCTCCGTACGCTGTCGAGTGTGTGTTGACGTGTTTGGAGATTAGACGTTCAGGCCTCCATCTTCACTGCTGGGAACTCGTCTTCTTCTTCTCTTCTGATAAAATTAAGGGTTCTTCACCGAGTCTGTTTAATGCAGCAATAACAAGAGGTTTTCTAACTAGCATCCGTTCAACAAGGGTTTGTTGTCGTTGTGTTTCTGTGTTAGAACTTCTCCTCAGTTTGGTCATAATTTAGATTCATTTCTTTAACCACTTCTGCTCTTCTCCTGTTCCTGGTCCTGTGTTAAATCATGTGTCCTGACAGTGCTTCTGCCTTCAGCTGCTCCCCTTCAGTGTCTGTCACCTGCTGTCTAACCTTTATTTAGAGGAGAGGTTGAAGACAGGTCAGAGGTCAAGTGGGCAGTGATATGACTCTCAACACTTGGGAATGGTGACGATAACCTTTTGCTCCTGGATCACAAGCAGAATGCTGTCTTAATATTTCGTGTTAAAGTCTCTTTGTGGCATCAGAGAATAAGGAGAGTTTACTTTAAGTGCGTTTCCCCTGATCCGGCCGAGTTTCTCTCTGTTGTAAGTGCAGCCCAAAGCTTCCTACACTTGTGAGGGACATTTACGTCATGTCAGGTCTGGGAGTGCACTGGTTTCTGCTGCTGTTCTTTTCTGTTGCAGAATGACTGGGACATGTTTTTCAACTTGTCACATAATCAGAAGACACACAATCCCAGTGGTCTGTTAAAGAAACCAAAGGTGTGAATGTTTTGTGAAAATGGGAAGTCACTGACCTACTGACAAAATCAGCGGTGTGACTTCCAGACAGGTTTTGAGATGACCTCCATCTGTGTGGAATGGTCTGGATCCACAGTCTGCCAAACACACACACACACATGCTCATCTCTTTCCTCTACGTCGTGATGGGAAACAGGAGTCAGGTGACAGGAAGGAAGTGGAGTAGTGCTGCACCTGCAGGTTGGTAGTACGACACTCCCATGTCTGCAGCTTTCCTTCACCACAACAATGGACTATTCTGTCCTCAAACACATACATTCCTACAGTCCGTGGGAGAGCGTTAAAGGCTGGCGACACGTTTCTCTGCACTCCCTCATCACAATTATCATCCTTCAGAAACATGAGGGCAGCTGGGTAGATAAGAGGATCACTACTTGCAGCTGTATTTTTAAAGGGTTTTTGGGTGGCGGTGTCATGACAAGACATGAGGGGAGACAGAGAGAAGCTCTCATGCAACAAACGTCCCAGGCCAGACAGAGTCTGGTGGTCCAGACCCCGGGCCAAGAAGACGTTCTTCATATCAACTGAATGTGTTTGCTACTTAGTGAAATAACTGGTGAATCTGAAGCAGGGCTGCTGCTCAGGCACAAGATGTGTCACTGCAGGCTCTGCTGCACCTGTGTCCAGGTGTTGTTCTGTGTGCATGTGTTTGTCGTGGAGGCCCTGTGGGAATGAGGAATTGAGTGGTGTGAGGCGTCGTAGTGACGGACGGGTGGCGAGCACCGGCTAACTGAGAATAATGGACCACTTCCTCCCATTCTGTCTGTGTGCACACACACACAAAGCTCCCAGCCATGTTCTCATGTTCCAGCAGGATGTCCGACTCACGGCCCGGGGCTCTCACCCAGCGGTGCCTCCATATATTACCCTCCACACACAGATATTCGGCCCTCGACACTCAGTGCTTCCTGTCATAGGATGGCCCTGCTTGTCCTCCTTGACCTCTGACACTAATAAACCTCCAAAATCATTAACACACACTCTCAACAACAAACCTGGCATTTCATAAGCTTTAAATCCTGCCAAGTGCACCTCAACAGCTGAGCACGTGTAGGTGGGGTGTCACCTCCTGTCTATATGCTGCTTGTGCTGTGTTCATATGAATTTTTGCCCAACAAAGATGGAGTTGGACAAAATGTGGCACTAAGTACTTTTTTTTGGTAGTGTTAGGTATTTCAGGGTGCAGGCGGTCTGTGTTTCTCCTCTTTATTTTATTCTGCACTAGCTCCAGTTGGATGTGCAGACTTTCCACCCATTGTGCTTTGAGTTTCTTAAAGTTTCCCACGAAGCAGCAAACGTTCCAGTTAAATTTGTAATGAAGTGGACATTGTGTAGATAAACTCACTGTTGTGTTACAGCAATAATCTGAGATAAAAGACTGATAGATTTTTGATAAGATGGAGAGAAGAAGGAGGGGGCTTCAGCCAATGAGAGGGTGCTGACAAGGCGACCTGAAGCTATCAGCTGGAAGAGGGCAGAACAGATAAATGGCGGGAAGGTGTGTGTGTGCAGCTACATTATAACTCCTGCATTAAATGTATTGCACAAAGATTAGCAGGTGTGAAAAGATACCTGAGTGAGTGTGTGTGTGTGTGTGTGTGTGTGTGTGTGTGTCTGGCCTCTGTCACACGATGATTGGGTTTCAGCATAAACAGCCAGGAGCTGTGGGAATGTCTGACACACACACACACACACACACACACACACACACTGCGTCACTCTACTTTTTCTATTTGTGTCTCTGTGTCTCTAGAGTGAGAACGCACAACGTGCACTGCACAGTGATGTGGGAACACTGATCCAGCCGCTTGTGGAGCAGCTCCTCCACAGCGCTACATCTTAACACCAACTCCTGTGGTGCAACAGGGGCCCAGAGAGGAACACAACACAGAAGAAACAGAAACTATACAAGTCAAGTTATGAAAGTACTGTAGCAGCAGGATGTAAAGTACTTCACAGTATAAGTATATAAGGTAATTACCATCAGCTCCACCTTTACCAGCTGCAGCATTAAAGTGATGGACACAGTAATTAGTCACTATGATCCAGTATCAGAGATGTTACTGGGACATGGGCTGTTCTGCAGGACAAGTACTGGTACTGTTGGTACTCTAAGTATACATACTTGGATAGTGATACTTTTGTACTTAAGTAAAATTTAGACTGTAGGAGTTTTAGTTGTAAGGGAGTATTTGTTCACTGTAGTAGTTTTACTGAAGTAAACAGATGTGCTCACTGCAGCAGTCCCATCTGAAACCTGTGGCCTTATATAACGACTATTTTTTGACTCAGAAGTGGCCTCATTCCCATACGTGCACTTGTCACACACACACACACACACACACGTCTGAACCAGACAGGAGGTGCTATCAGGGAGAAGGACCAGCCCTGCACAAATCTCCCATCTCAAAGTTGTGTTTTAGTGGACGTGGGCGGTTCCACCGTGTGTGTTGCTCCCAGGCTCTGTGGGAAGGCTCCAGCAGCAGAGGAGGAGGAGGAGGAGGACACTCCAGTCTCCATTCCAGTCTGCAGCCGCCACACAGGCCACCTGCCTCGGGCTATTTACCGGACACACACAGCGCTGGAAAACAAACTCCCAGAGCCATAATTTTACTCTGAACATTTTCTTTAGACTTTTGCCGACTTCAGAAACTAAAAACAAAGACAGGGGAAGATTTGCATGGCCAGCAGCCGCTTCCTTTGCCACTGAGGGAAAACTTTTTTATAAGTCCTTTTTGACTCATTTTTGGGGAGGGATCATTTGGATTCTGCAGGAGGAGAAACCAGTGGCTCTCAGTTTTGCTCTCTGGACAGGAAACTGCATCAGGTTCTGGATTAAACAAACCTAAACACCACATTACAGTTCATGTTTTATTTCTGTGAGACCACAGAATTAATCAGTAACGGCTTTATAGGACTTTTAAGGTAGCTTCACATACATCCTTGGACTTTGTTCAGAGGGGAAGAGCAGTAGACGTCGTCTCCGCCTCTTCTTTTATCCTGACGTGAACCAACCTCCACGTCTCCTCCTGGGGACACACAGCCTGGTCCCCTGTCCATCGTCCACGCAGCATGAAGCGGCCGTGTGAGGACAGCAGCTCGGCAGAGAGCGATGTGGAGGAGCCCATCGATGTGGGCAGTGAGAACATGTATCCGAGGTGCGTTATCCACTTATTTATTGATCAGAGCTCCCAATTAATGATTGTCTGTCAATAATAATGTTATCAATAACAATTATAAGAGTATATAATATTTTTTAAAAGGAAACAAAACATGTTTTACTTTCATGTTGTTGCTTGATATTGATTGATTAAAAAGAGACGTGTGTTCCTGGAAAAGTCTGCAGACCATGATGTATAAAACGTTTCAATACGAAAAGTGAAAGGACAAAGCAAAGCAAACTAAGGATTACATTTAGCTGCACTGTCTGAAGGAATTATACAAGTTTAAACAAAACACTCATTTGAGACCAAAAGATCAATATACTTAAAGATTATCAGTCAATCAGGGCTTCAACTAAAGATTAGTTTAATTATTAATCAATCTGAGGATCATTTTCTTGAATCATCCACAATCATTCGGTTGATGTATCAGAAAACTTGCCCCAGGTCTTCAGATGTCTTCTTTCACACAACGACAGATGAAAACTCAAACATATAGTCACATAACTAACTGCAGATTGATTCAGTAAACTGATCATTTGAGCTCCACACAGATCTGCAAAACACAACAGAGGCTTCAAACCACGTGTGTGTTGTTGTTTTGTAAACTAAAGTCCCGTGTTATATTTGTAACCTGAAGGTAAAATACTAGAATAATGTGACTACTGTTACTGAATACAGAAAAAAGAAAAGTTATAAACCAATTTAGCTGAAATTCAAAATCCAGTTGATCCAGAAAACACCAGCATTTCTCCACAAAATGACTTTTTCTCAAAACACCCCCAAAAATCCTCCTAATGCTAACCTGGAGTCTGTCACACATTTCTACAGGGACTTTTCATATATTTTGTACTGTTCATCGAGAGTATTATTTACAGGTAGCAGGTTGGTTGCATGTGGTATTATTGTCACAAAGTTTAAGGACCAATGAGAAAGTGTTTGAAAGTTAAAAGTCAGTAAACTCACCTGTCCAACTGTCGCCGTGGAGTAACTCAAGTCAAGTACTAGTACCTTAGGACTAAGTGTGGTGCCAGACCAGCAGTGCCAGTGAAGAGAGAAAAACACGGGTCAGATCTAGCACATGTGAAACTGTGGGTTCTGTGTTCACTCTTTTCTGCTCTTGGTGTGTAATCGGATCATTGTGCTCGTTTCTTTGAAGGATTTGCAGTAGTACTCATTCAGTTCAGCCTACACTCTTTGCTTTTGAGATGACTCTGAAACATTTGCTGGGGTGTGTTGTCTGGAAGAAACAAAAACACACCAACAGACAATGAAATGATCCAGAGAAGAACCATTTTCTCCTGAAGGGAACCCACAAATCCGGTCATATGAAGTATTGTCACAACACTGGGAATCAAACTTAACTCCACTTTTTCTGGCTTAATGTCTCTGATCAAATCAACACTGTGGGTCAGATACAGTTATTTAGTATATGAGTGTAATCATCAATTTGTTTTCCAGGCACATGAAGGCGTCCTTCATCAGATGCGGATCACCGACCACAACCACTCAAGTGATGGCGAGGAAAAAACGCAGAGGGGTAAGGTTACTGTTAGTACTAATGTAGAAGTACTGGTAGGAGTACTGGTACTCTGTCTGAGGACCTGACCTTCAGAGAGAGACAGAGTTTATTACTGCTTTCTTTTATTTGTCAGATTATTGAGAAGAGACGAAGAGACCGAATCAACAACAGCCTGTCGGAGCTGCGGAGACTCGTCCCCACAGCGTTTGACAAGCAGGTAAGAATCTGCTCCACAGGACCAAAGCAGGCTTTTCATGAGATCCCAACAGAACCAGCACACAGTCTCCTTTAAACCAGTGTCTCTCAACCAGAGACGTGTTTCTCACTGGTTGTGTTTTTGGTCAAATTCAGGCTTCAAGCATCTTCCAATTTTGCTAACTCACACTGGGCTCGTTAGCTCTGTCGCTTCTACGTGCGCCCTGTTTTTTTTTACACAGGAAACTATTTGTACCATTGACCGTGAAACATTCCTCTTGTGTAATTTATGTTCCAACAGAATGAATGGTACAAAACAACTGAGTACCTACGGACTCTCACACATCAACACTTTGACCCGTTGGTCAGTGCTGGTGTCACAGTTCATGACATGAAACGTTTTCACTGCCTTCGCACTGAGAGTGAATTGATTCAACTGGAACACGTTTCTTCTTTAAAAACTGGTGTGATTGAGCCTCATTAGTGTACCTGTGTTATGAACTACTGCATCCACCTGTGTGTGCCCAATTAGTGTACCTGTGTGATGAACTACTGCATCCACCTGTGTGTGCCTCACTCCCCCGGCTGTAAAGCGCATGTGCATCCTTTACAACGGTGCGACAGATCAGAGCACAGTAACCAATCAGCAGCAGGTACCTGGCGATGAGGCTAAAACCAACATGACAGGAATGAGAAAGATTTTTTTCCTACATGTATATCTGCAAATGTGCATATTCCTTATTGAATACACAAAGATCAAAGCCACTGTTACACTTCACACATGTAAAACTACTAAATGCAGATTTTTTTTCTCTAACAGTTTGATTATCAGAGCCTTTTTTGTGTGGATGCGGCCTTTGTATGGGCACCTCCGCTCAGCTGAGTGTCTGAGGTTGGGAGCAGTTATTCTCATGTTGAAGGGTTGAAGAAAGCAGTGAGAACTTTTACCAGTGTCCTGCTCTGATGTTCACTCTGGTCTGTCAGGGCTCGGCTAAACTGGAGAAGGCCGAAATCCTCCAAATGACTGTGGACCACCTGAAGATGCTGCAGGCCACAGGAGGGAAAGGTAAACACATCAAACCGTCACTGTTGCTTGATAAAGACCAGTTTTATCTATACTTTACTTGCTTTCTGCTTCATTCCAGGCTATAAATGAAAGTATCTCATCACAAATTTGTTGTCATTTTTTGAGCAAAAATACCAAAAAAGTGCCTAATTTCCATTTTTTAAAATTAGAATTCTGCCTCGTAGGGGCAAAGTGCACCTACCAGTAGGTCAGATGGTGCGTATCATCTATGTGTAGTATAACTAGTTGACCTTTAGCAGTCATAGTGATTATGACAGGAGCAACAGTCGCTGTTGGTGATGTTGTATAAAGAGTGACGAAGTCCAGGTAGGGACGAGGTCGAGATGGCTGGCGGATGATAAAACCCAGGACTTTGTTTGTTTCCTCTTTCAAACCCATGCCCAGTGTCATCACTTTAACAAATCACAATTATAACCCAAAACTATTTTCTAAAACCTAACCAAATTATTTTTGCACAAAAACCTGGTATGCTCCACCTTTATTATTGTAGCCATGATGACAAAGGTCTGGCGCATGATCACACCCTACCGAGCCAACTGTAAGGTGGAGTAGAGCCCTACTAACCCACATCTATGGTTTCGATGACAAACTGATAACAGCTATTGAATCGGGTGACAACATTTGAAGTGGGTATGTGACCTTTAGTTGGGTCAAAGTGTGAGGTGATGGTCGGATTCTGTCATCACTGTTTGGTTTGTCAGAGCGTCTGTGTGGACATGATGTCACTCAAACAGTCACTCAGTGTCAGTTTAACTGTTCAAAGCATTGTGTGTGTGAGACGGGGGGTGAGTCCATGGGAAAGTGCTGCAGGGATAAAAGCACCACTTGACCCTGAGCAGCACTGTTTGCTTTCATAAAGCCGGGGTGGGGGAGATGTGAGGGAGGGGGGCCAGCGTCGGCAGCGTTCACAGGCAGATCTCTTCGTCATGTGTTTGGGTTCACCAGGAGCAGAGACAGAACAGAGTCAGCTGAGCAGAAAGTCCTGACTGTTAGAACGTCTTCACAGTCTACAGGACTCAAACCATCATAGAGGCTTTTACTGAATTGTGTTATTAATTGTGTTGATTATAGCACTGAAATGACACCAGAGGACAGCAGCCACAATGGGCTTTTTTAAGTGAAGTAAAGCCATTTTTTATTTATATAGCACCTTTCTAAACATGAGTTACAAAGTTCTTCACAAGATAAAAAGGGAAAACTCATAAAAATCACAGAACAAATATACAGGAACCCCCAAACAACTCAATAATAAAATACATGGGGGTAGGAGAAGTCTGCATCTGTGTTGAACTCCTGAAAGTTTCTAAGAGAGTGTGAAGATTGCTGGAGTCAGGTGGGGATCTGATGTCAAGAGGGAGGCTATTCCGTGATCTAGGGGCTGTTACTGCAACGCCCTGTCTCCCCAGGATTTTAGCTGAGATCAAGGAACACCCCAGAGCATCTGGTCAGAGGAGTGTAGGGATCTTCCTGTAGAATGAAGATGTAAGAGCTCTGAAATATTGGGTGGTGCTAGGCCACGCAGAGCCTTAAATACAGTAATTTGATGAATGGAGAGTCAGTGGAGTGAAGCCAGAAGTGGGGTTAATGCTTGTGTCTATGATGAGCAGCAGCATTCGGACTAACTGAAGCCTACTGTAGGCAGTAACGTTTGAGCTGTACCGATACACAGGGCATTACACTGGCTCTTGAACTGATGGAGTGTGGGCGGACTGTTCAAAGTCACCAAAGAGAGAAAATGTTTCACCTTCATTAATAGTCTCAAGTGAAAGAACCCATCTTAACCACTTAACTAATCTGTTTATCCTATATAAGAAGAACATCCCTATGTCTTTTAGTGGCTTCAGGAAGTTTAGCAGACGGTTAGCACTAAGGAAACACACACAGTGACAGTGTGTTCCTACAGTTTTCTAACTAACCATTACCATCTTTTATCTTTTTAATTAAACAAGAGTCAGTCATGCTAGCAGCTCTGTGAAGCTGTACTTAGGCTAAATGCTAACACCAGCATGCTAACATGCTGCTAGCAGCTACAGTATTTAGGCTACCATCTGTTTGCACAGATATATGTACGTACAACAGATGCTTTAACCAAGTACTGCCAGCACCGAAACCAAACCAACACTTTCATAATGGTGGAGTCACTTCTGACAGATGTTGAACTGCAAGATCAGACATTTTGGTGGGAAACAAATCTGGTCATAAATAATTTCCTTTCAGATGTATTTGCTGTTGAAAACTAGTTATATACACATGTCATTTCTCAGAGACAGGTTTGGTCAGGGAGATACTGAGGTGGAACTGAGGGACAAACTGGAGTCCTTTTAAATTTTAGTGATAAAACGTTTATGTAACATTTTGGTCACCTGTCAGGGAAACTCTAGGTGGATCCCAGTTCCCTTAAATGCATCCATGTTTCCCTCACTTGCGTCTTTTGCCTGTGTCTTAATCCGGCCCACGGATGGAAAAGATGCAAGGACAAAGTTTAAGGAGAGAGGAACCAACGAAACAGGTTTTAATTGAAATGAGACGTCCTTTCCTTAATATGAAACGATCACAAACCCATTTCAGATAAAGAGGCATCTTCACTGAAGGATGCACTCATGTGTCCTTGGTTATAGCTCCTCCAGGCAGCCTCCTTACTCCTCAGAGCAGAGATAAGATCTTTGGGACATTTTTCATCATGGTGCACCGGAACGACTTCCGGGTGAGGACCAAGGAATGATAAAATAAGGAAACTAGGATTCATTTTTTGTTGTTCCAAAATCAGTACTGGACCATTTCTCCGTCCCTGTCTGCAGGTTACTTTAACGCCCATGTCTTGGCCCTGGACTTCCTGTCTCTGGGTTTCAGGGAGTGTGTGACGGAGGTTTCCCGCTACCTGAGCGCCATAGAGGGTCTGGACTCCAGCGACCCACTGCGCTCTCGCCTCCTCTCCCACCTCACTTCCTGTGCCTCCCAGCGTGATGCCGCCGCCCTCACAGCCGCCTCCCACTCACCACATCACCACCAGCAGCCTCACCCTTTGGCTCACCCCTTCCACCCCCACCGCTGGGCTGCTGCTGTCGCCACCGCGGCTGCATTTCAGCCTATACCAGCTACCGCTGCTGTGCCATATGGACTGAGCGGGCTTCCTGTTTCTCCAGATGCTGGAGGAGGCGGAGCCCCCCAGAGGTTGGCCGAGCTGTCCCAGCGCCATGTGGCATCCTCCTACACAGACTCCACCTCCTCCTCCCCTCCTTCCTCATCCTCCTCTTCCTCTTCTCTTATGCTCCCCTGCACCCCCGCCCCTCTCTCCACCTCCCTCTTCTCTCTCTCGGCCTCATTTCCCATCGCCCTCCAAGGAGGCTTCCCCATCCTCACTCCTTCCTCCTTCACCTCTACTGTCACCACCAGTCCACCCATCTCCTCCTCTTCTTCCTCCCAGACTCCTCATAGCAACAGCAGTAAACCCTACAGACCGTGGGGGACCGAGGTCGGAGCTTTCTGACTGACCTCTGACCCGCTGACGGCCTGAAAACACAATCACCAGTGAACAAACTGCTTACAGACTGAGTTTTACTGACTGGTTTTAACACCTGACCCAACCCTCGTGTTCGATTAACTCGTTAACCCTTCAGATGCTTTTGACTGTGCTCACCTGCAGAGTGCCTGGTTATTCTGAAACCTCTGTCCAAGCTACAGAGTTGGACAGTTTGTTGTTGTCTTTCTTCTTTTTACTCAAATTTACTGAACTGTTTAACATCAACAGTTGTTTTGTTTACTCCGCTTGGTCAAAGACGTCACTTTTTAAAGTTACTCTGTCCTGCTGCCACAAATACTTACTAGAGGTCAAATGTGGATTCATCTGCCACTGAAAATAGTCCCCAGAGGATGCACTGTTCCCTCCTGTGTGATAAAATCTACAGTGAGCAGCTGGTTTAAGAAACGACTGATCCTTTAAAGTGTATGTATATTTGTGAGCTAAGCTTTCAGAGAGAATGTTGAGTTTGAATTTGCCATAGGATTATAGAAAAATGCAGACCAGATTTCAGACTACCTTAAACACTGACACAAACCAACCTCTGAGAAAACCAGTACACCAGTGTTTAACCTGTCTGACAAAATTGATACTTTTACTTAAAAAAGCACCAGTTAAGTGAGAATAAAACCATTCCCTGTCCAAACTGTTTGCCGCTGCACATCCACCAGAACCAGCAGAAAGTTAAATGGTCAAACTGGTACAAACCAGGATGAAGATTAACACAGTAACTGATGGTGATTGTACATGTCACTGAATTTACTACCTAAACCCAACGGTTCCCTGTGTGCCTTTGTACGAATAAAGATGCTGCTGTAATGAAAAGCATTGCTGCCGTGGTGTTTCCTTTTGCAGTAGCAACATGATATCTTTATTCAAATGCTTAAAGGTTTAACCTTGGGACATTGCTTTTAGCTTCAGTGCCTAAAATGTAACCGCTGCTCTGGTGACACTTAAAGTAATAGTGTGACTTTTTTTTGGAACATTGCATATAAACGGTGTCGTCTCCTCTGGAGTTTGGCTCCTCTGTTTCTGCGCACTATAAGGACCATGTTGGCTAAGATGCAAAGGTAGAGCATTCACATGAAAAGTTTAACTTCCCCATTTCCATAACAACTGGGCAAATTTAATCTACTGAGGAAGATCATGTGGCATGATCAAAAGCTCCAAAACAGCTAAATGGACTTTTCTCCAGACAGTTTCCTCATCCACATGATTCAATTAATCGGCACAACAAATCATTTTGTCACCTCAATTTCTTTAATGTAAAGTATCTATGAGGAACCAGACAGCATCCCCAAGCTGGAAAACACTTTAAACAACACACACATACACGTTAATCCACTCCTTCTTGCTCTTTGCCTTCATCTCCCAGTTGATTTACACATTGAAATCACTGTTGCACCCGTTAAATCCTCCCAGAGAAGAAAACAGCGCCATTTCCAGCTGAATGGAGGATTAAAGGCTGACAGGCCTGGGAACAGCTCTGCAAGCTGTAAATCCGCCCCGGTCAGCCGACACCGTTCTCACGCCAGGACACTGCTTTGAAGTGACCGGCGGTAAATTGGGTGACATGAGCCGGTCAGTTCTTTACATACAGATACAAGCAGAACAGAGAATAACTGGAGGACACAGCGCAAAAAAGAAAAAGTCGACAACTCCAAATGTTAAGGCAACAAACCTCAGTAAATGTTTGAGTTAAACAGTTTAGCTATATTCTTTAAGCTTAGGTTTTGAATTCATCCAAATTAGAATTTCACTTCTGTTAACTTACTCAAAAAGTAAGATGTAAATATTATTTTACATTATTAAAATTAAGAATTTTTTACTGCTTAATTAACTCAAATCTGTGGGCAAATAATTGACCGCCAGAGGGCGCCTAATTATAATGCACCTTCTGATCTTCTGGTAGGTCTAGTTGAAGTATAATTATGGGCATGATAACTGATAATGACCATTTAATGAGGTGATACAAGATTTGTTGATCCTGACTTTTCCTCTAGCACCATCATCAAGTCAAAGTTTCAATTTGTACATCTCAGGTTTATAACTCTGGTTATACCTGCAAATCTAATGACACCCCATCAGCCCTAGCTGTACTTTGTGTTTAGTGCTAATTAGCAAATGTTAGCATGCTAATATGCTAAAACAAACATTGCAACTGTCAAACATCAGCATGTTAGCATCACCACAACTTTTATTTCCCCACTCAGTGATGGTTGTCTAGCTCAAAGTTGATGTTCATGGCCATCTTTGTGATGGTGCTCAGAACTCTAAAGTAACTGGAGGTAGAGGGTAAGGCAAAGCAAGACAACTTTATTTATATAACACATTTCATACACAGAGGAAACTCAAAGTGCTTAACAGAGGCAAGGAACGACAGTAACAGCATTAAAAACATTAAGCATTAAAACCAGAATAAAACCAGTTAAGACAAAGTGAAGATAAAATGTTGTGAAAATGAGATCAAATACATAAAATGAAAATAAGAACAAAAAGACAAAACAAAAAGGTCTGAAACTGAAATCTAACAGTTACGGTGCAGAAAGTGCAGTGTAGAAACCATCACAGGTCGCTGGGAAGCTGGTTCCACCTGTGTGCAGCATAGCAGCTGAAAGCAGCTTCACCCTGTTTGGTTCTGAGCTGAGGTTCTACCAGCTGACTGCTTCCTAAGGACCTCAAAGCCCTGCTCGGTTTGGATTCTTCCAGGAGATCAGACGTGTTTTGGCCCTGTGATACCACTGAGTGATGTATGAATTAGCAGAAGCACTAGGTGACTTGCAGCCAGTGTAAGGTTTTAAGAACAGGAGTGATGTGCTCATTACTCCTGGTTCTGTTTAAAACTGTGGTAGCAGCATCTGAATGAGCTGACATTGTTTAACAGTCTTTTTGGGAAGACCAGGCAAAAAACCATGACGATAGTCCAGCCTGCTAGAGACAAAGGCATGAATGAGTTTCTCTAGACCTTGTCTGGACATGAGACCTCTGAGTCTTGTTACTTGTTTGAGATGATAAACAGCTGATTTGAGTTTTTGTCTTTATAGCTTTAGATGATCACTAACTTCCATCCCTTCCTTCCTGTTGCCAAAAACAATAACTTCAGTCGTCTTTGTTTAACTGAAGGAAACTTGACAGCATCCAGGTATTTACCAGACTGACAGAGTGAGTCTAGGGGACCACAGTCAGTTGATGATAGAGCTAAGTAAACCTGAGTGTCGTCTGCGCAACTATGATAAGCCACATTATTGTCATGTACAATCTGATCCAGAGGAAGCATGTATAGGTTGAACAGCAGTGGTCCAAAAAAAAAAAGAACCCTGTGGGCCTTCGCATGTCAAGGTGCAAAATATTTACACTGCAACAGAGAGTCAACAAATTAAAAGAAAAGACAGACAGTTTTGATTTTTAGAAGAACAAGACAGACAAAAGCAAAACAGAGCAAAGCGTGTAGGCACAAAGGTCCTGACATGTATATAAAGCCCCACTCTATTTCCGCAGTGTTGTCCAACCAAAATGTCCTCAGTTGCCCGGTGTGTCTCCTGTTTAAGGGAACATTGAGGAGACCATCCTGTTAGGATTTAAAATCTCAATCCAGTAGCCATCGGGATCCTTAATGAAGATCTGACCCTGCACTGTACCTGTGAGAAGGACACAAACAACATGTTGTCCTCACTCTGGACGTAACCAAACATAGCCCTAAACTTAAAAACAAATCTTAACTCTAAAATGTAATATATACATAGGAAGGACCATGTTTTTGTGTTGATTCATACACCAGAGCCAGGCATCAGGTCTAATCCACAACCTACAGACATCCAGTTAAGTCTGAGCTCCATCTCCTGGTGGAAACCTGTATCAGCTAAACTGGTTTCACAGGACATTGATCACAATAAAATAAAAATCATAAATTCACTTTTCACATGTTCATAACATTTTCTTTTAAAAACAGCCTGGATGCTGTAGGGATATTTATAAAAGTTAAAAGACTCTCGAGTGGACCTGACAGAAACACTTCTAAACCTCAGCTAATGTTTCAGTGTGCGAGTTATTTCCCAAGGTCATTTTTCAGATTTTAGTTCCCTTGACGTGCAGAAGTTGTTCAGAATTCTGTATTTTTAACCTGCTGATTGTGAGAGCTTTAGCCTGGCTGTCATCATTAAATATTAAATGTCTCAGAGTTGTCCCATGTTACATTAATTCCATTATTTTTAAGTTGATAAAACAGGCCCCAAAGTACAACCTCAATGCAACCAAAGTGAGTACACCGTTGATTTCCTTTTAAAGCTCGATGGCTCCACACAGTGAGAAACTGTCTCAACAAGTATGAAACCACAAGAGCAACAAGAGCATCAACACTGCTGCAGCAGCGGTTAGGAGGGATAGGAAGACAGAATGCTTCAGACAGCAGGGAGGGCTATGATGAAGTTGGCCTTTAGAGAAAAGAGCCATCGCTCACAAAACGGCACAAACTCAACAAGATGAAGCTTTGGTACAGAGCATGAAAAGAGGCCTGAATCCAAAAGAAATGAGTTTGGATCAGTGGGACCGAGCATGTTTGGTATGGACCTACTACAGTGAAACATGGAGGTGGGGGTGTGCTGATGTGGGGCAGCATGGGAGCAAAATGTGTGGAAGTGATGACTTTTATAGATGAAATGAAGAATCCAAGTTTATAAAAAAATCAATGGGAAAAAACACTGCTCTAAAATGATTGCTCCCACATAAAAAGCACAAGTGTTTCAAGTCCTGGAAATGGCTGAATTCTAATGTCGGACTCTTCCAGAGATACCGGTGTTAAATCTGACCCGGTGCAGAACTACAGGCTGCCCCAGGGTTTGCCAGCCAAATGAGAACTCACCTGAGTCTGGGTTCTTGACAAACTTCACTCCTTGCTCTTTAAATAATCTGCAGGCAGCTTTAACATCAGGAACAATGATGCCAATGTGACCTGCAACAAAACAGAAGGTTACACCCAAATAGCACAAACACATGCACCAGAAGAAGAAAACTATATGTGCCACCTGTTTCAGCCTTTTCCTCAACTCACAGAAATAACAGGTAGGTAGTAAGTTAATGTGGGTTAATTGAGCTTAGTTAAACTTCTCACCAAATCCCATTGGTTTGTTGTTTCCGTTGTGGTAGGACAGACTCTCATCCAGCTCTGAACCCCAGTTACTGACGGACAGAGAAATAACGGTCATTGACACTGAGACATTCGTTATCTGAGAAGTCATACAGACAGAGCTGATTTGTGGTTCCTGTGCTCAGGAAGTTATCTGGAGGTTTTGGTGCAGTGCTCATCCTTCGTACTGTGTGAGCTCCAGAGTGCCCCTGCGGGAGAAAGTCCACGCTGTCCTGTCTCGGATGTTGGTCGGGATGTCCGACTTGTCCTCGTAGCCCAGGTAGTAGAGGCTGAAATTCATCGAAGGGAAGTCGATTTTCTGCAGCAACCTGGAAACCACAGAGGAGCCCAGTGGTCAGACCAGAAATAAGTCTGGACCTATACTGAGCATGTCTCACTTCCCTCTGGAAGGTGTCTACTGTAGCTGTGCACAAAGTGTATTTGTTTATTTGAACAAGTTTTGAAGATCTGTACTCAGTTTGTCCCATTTCTCAAACAAGTTCCAGTGAGGTCTGTGGATTATCTAGTGTCAGGGACACAGTTTCTGAAAAGACAAGTTGCAGCTAAACTTTTTAAACTTTTGTTCTTCAAAGTTCTGATTCTCACAGCATAAATCCCATCCAGCTCCTTTGTTCTGGGAGGCAGATGTCACTGACTGAACATCTGGATGAATAAAGCTATCTGCTACACACAGTACATTACACACCACTGGAGCCAGGAGAGAAAATGGGGCCTGACTGAGGAGAAAAGCTTTTTGAAATATTTGATTATTCGAAGAGGATTAAGGCCTCACGTCATGCCCAGGATTCGAGTGTAGAAGTCCAGAGATCGAGCCGGATCTTTGACCCGCAGCATCGTCTGCTGCATCATGAAGTCCTGCAGAGTCATGAAGAAAAGCAGCAACCAATGACAATGGAAACACAACGTCCACCGTTTCTACGCCAAAGAATCAACTGTCACATATTTGTTTGCATGTGCAGGGATCAAAACTTTTACACTGTATCTTTCTCATGTTACAGATTGTATGTGCATTTTTTTCCTTTTAATTCCTGATAAAGCACAATCTCTGTTTTTGATATAAACGTTGTGATTATCATCATTATTCTTACATTAAACAGCAATGACAGGAAATCCCTTTCAGACCTGACAACAAAACAGTAACACTTCTTTACACATTACATTAAAAACTGAAAATTATCAATAAATTCAACTACAAAAATAATCTGTAAAAGATTTCCAATGTAAATGTAAAGAGTCAAAATTACTAGTTTTGTTTAATGTGCCAAGATTCTGGCTGAAAATTCTTCCTTCACACAGCTGAGGTGAATGGAATATAATTTCATGGTGCTTCAAAAATAACAGTGGAAAATAAAAGAGCCGAAGCTTGAAAATCTATGTTTCTTGCATAGTTTTAAGCCTGTACATGTGAATAAGTGTTGCTCTGTATCCAATGTAAGACAAACTGCCGGCAGCCTACAGGCATCTGCAGGTCTGACGCACAGCCAACAGGTCCGACCGCATTACAGCCTCACCACCCAGTCTTTATCTTCAGCCAGTTAACTAGAACAGATCCAATAAAAAAAAAACAAAAAAACATTGCAATGATTTAAAAATAAAGAGGATTCAATAAGAAGTCACCTTGGTCATGGGGTGTCCTTCATTGCAGGCAGCAGACACAGCCTCGTCCGAGAGCACTCTGGCCTCCATGGCTCACAGGTGGATGAACACACAGGTGCCTCCACACACTGGCTGCTCCCGGTCGGTGCTGCCTTCAAGTGCTGCTTCTATCACATAAAAAAAGAAGAGATTTTACAGACACGTGATGAGATTTTCTGATATTTCATAAAGAAAGTTCACATTTTTTCCATTCCACTTCTGAAATATACAAGACCACTTATGACATCAAATGAATAACCGCATTTTTTTTTAGAGCTGGAACCATTCTTTTATATGTGGAAACTTGAATGTATCAATGTTTTTAAAGGGGTTTATACAGATTTTTTATTACGTTTTTCCACCACTGCTTGCTGCCATTACTATTCTTACTACCAACACTTCTCTTGCTACACATACATCTACTTACATTATATTTTTAGACACAAACAGTTGCAACGTGAATTATATTCGAGTTGTCAGTTCAACCATTAAGGCTGTAATGCATGCTTTTATTTTTTTATCTATACTTGTGAAATGAATCAGTGTTGAAACTGCCACTGGGGAATGCGCACAAATCCACTTCACTCTCTCATTTTAGTCTTTTACTGGTTGTTGACACCAGCTCAGGCGTCGGGGAGACTTACCTGGTTCAAGTATTTCTGACTGACCCTGAACACAGCATAGGTGTTTTGTTTCTGTTCAGGGAGGGGCCACGGGGCCGCTGCTGCCTTCAGGTTCCGTCTGAACTACTGCGTTAGAAACAGCCACAGCCTGGATGAAAAAGGCAACGGGGCGGCGAGTTAGAGCGCAAAGTTAACCTCCAGCGAACACGTCACTGTGCTGCTGCCAGCATCACACCCACCTGGAGGAGCTGGGAACATAAGCTGCAGAACACCACTTTGGTTTTAAAAACAAAGTTATGAAGTGATGTGAAATAAAACCACTGAATTCTAAGGGAAGTTTGGCAGGTAACAGGAATCCCAACTAGTATAAAGGTCATAGGTCTACCTGTGGTTAAGCACATAAGACGACCTGGAACTAACCACATAATCTTCTTGCTTGTTAACATTAACATACATTTTAGGATGATTTCCTTCGTGAGGGTGTTGAGATTATCTGGAGGACCTCGACGGCGTCTGGGCACAATTATATTCTTTAAGTTATTTTTTCTGTTTTCAATTTGTCAGTCTGGGCAAAAACAGCAACTAGTGAATATCCATTAAACTGAGTGTACAACACAAGGCAGTGGATTTCCACACTGATGGTATTTAAGAGTGAAAAACAACCAATATCTAAATCTAAAAATGTGGTTACTAAAGAATTGTGACAGTAACAGATCGTGAGCAGGACACTCACTGGAGCAGATCACTTCACATTTGTAGCTTTGGATGCTCTACTGGTCACAGCCATCAACAGGGAAAACAAGTTGCAGGCAAATTAGCTCAGTTCAAAGTCAAAAATCTTTAGATAAAAAAAAAAATGTTTTGCACAATATAAGAGAGCAGTTGAATGAGCATGAACTCCTCTGCCCAGTGTAGTGTCAATAAATCCACTATCAAGCAAAGGAAGAGAATCACCTACACTTCAACACAAGTTTATTCTTTGCCAAAGAAAACAGGTTGTGACTCCAACAAGTCCCAGAACGTGGAGAATTAAAATGACTTAAAAACAACAAACTCAACTAAACAGTAATTACATTTTTTTCATATGTACAACTTCAGTTTAAACTAAATCAGTTGCTCAGTTCGGTGACAGTTCAAAAAACCTATGAGCACATACACCAAACCCATTTCTGTGCCTCAGTCCAATTTAAAAGCAGGTGGAGGTGGGGTTTTTTTTTCCTGGTTCATGGAAAGGAGGGAAAAGGAAAACAAGAAAGAAGAGGAGGAAGAAAAGTGGAGAGCGACACAGTTCAGGGTGAGCAGAAGGACAGGAAACCTGTCGCAGGATCTCAGTTGGCGCCATTGTCATCTCCGAGCTGCCTTGCGGCTGCTCAGCAGCTGGACAACCAGGCGGCTCATGAGCGGGGAGAGCTTGGTGCTGTAGTTGTCCTGCAGGACGGATGACAGTTTGGAGCGGAGGCTCCGCAGGCTGGGCAGAGAACCACAGTCCGGCACGTTCAGCAGCGTGTGGAAGAGCTCCAGCCACAGGTCGCCATGGGGGTTTCTGTGGAACACATGGTACTTTGTTATGTGCATGTCTGTGCTTTTACATTCAGCCAAAGAGGTTTTGTTTAAAAGAGAAGCACCACTCGGATTCACTTTGATGCTAGGAAGGGTACGCGGACTGGCTGGGTGCAGGCCAAAAGAAGACAGACATTTACAAAAAAAAAAAAAAAAAAGCACATACAGCGAGTGGTGAAAAGTAACTAAGTACATTTACTCAAGTAATAAGCTTAAGTACAATTTGAGTTCTTGATATTTCAACTTCACTACACACAAGATGCAAATATTGTACTTTTTTACTCCACTACATTTATTTGGTAAATTTAATCACTAGTTACTTTTCAGAACCAAATGAATACATAAACAGTATAATCAGACTTTATTGATCTCTGACGTAAAATTCAAATGTTACCCAGCAGTAACTCAAATTATAAGCTGGTTAAAACTAGCTCCCCCTTTACTAGCTGCACCGTTAAATGTGATCTACATAATAATTAGAATTAACATTAATGTAAAGTGTACTTCATTTTGATGCTAATACTTTTGTACTTCAATCACATTTTGAATTCAGGACTTTTACTTGTAACAGAGTATTTTTACACTGCTCTACTGCTATTTTTACTAAAGCAAGGCATGTGAGTACGTCTTCCACACAGCCTATTTATTTGACAGCTGCATTGGGGGAAAAAACAACAGGCAGAACAATCACCACCACCGACTGAATTGTTTTAGCTGTTCCTTTTAATGTAAAAACTGGATTTATGAGGCTAATTTTTGAGTCTTGCTGATGATATATGGCAGTATGTCTGTGTAAAAACCAGCTCTCTGGTGGACAAACTCAGTAATGTTTCTAATTTATCTCAAACATCTCTGACCTTTCTTATCACGCAGTTACAGTTACACCTGCAAAAAGCTAACACCGGCGCACATACTGGCCCAGGAAATGTATCACTTTATCTTGGGAGGCATTACCTTCTGAACACAGCATTAGTCTTCCAGACACCATCTTCACTTGTGACTTTCATGTATGTCCCAAACAGCATGCAGTAGACAGTAGCTGCTATTCCAAAGTAGTCCGTCTAAGAACACAAGAAAAGGATCCACGACACCAAACACAGTAAGACCTTGGAAATAAAGCTGCTGAAAAAACATATCTTATAACTGACATCAGTTTGTTAATTTTTTATTAGATTAGTTTTGTTGATAAAATGTTATACAAATAAAAGTACCACTAACCACACATACTAATGTCCTCACCTGATAGTTCCAGGGTTTCCCACTGAGCATCTCTGTACACTGGAAGCCTGACGTCAAACACTTGGCGGTGAAAGCAGTGCCTTGTGGGAAAAGCTCCATGTCGATGCTCTGACCAAGGTCGATGAGGACTAGGCCGTGGTCTGTGTTGTCCGAATCAAAGCACTTGTTTTCCAAGAACCTGAAAGCATGACCGTGCTTGTGAGTTTCACGTCTGGCTCACTTAAACTGTGGACGTGGACATTTCAAAGGCTTGTACGGAAAAGAACCAGTTCTATGTCATATTTGGAGAAAATGTTGATGCAACTTACAACGTACAGTGACATAAAATGAAGAAAAGTAGGATATTGATCCTTGAAGCTAAGAGCAGCAAATGTTTGGCATTTCTGTTCTATTAATTACCTAAATGACTGATTGATGATCAGAACTGTTGATCAATAATATGCTGCATACATACCAGAAAGATGTGTCCCTTTATGTGCAACAAACCACCAGATGTTGCAATTTTACAAGTAACATGCAACCTGTCAGAAGGAAAGAAACATGGTTACTGATGCTACCTCTTTCCCAGTAGGACGTTGTCAGGTTTGATGTCAGCGTGGATGATGTGGACACTGTGCAGCTGCTCCACCATGTGCAGAATACAGACGGTGAAGTACATGACCAGAGGCTGAGGCATCACGCTGTTGCTTGGGTGTTTATAGAGGTTCACTGCGTCCTGACGGTGTAGTCAGTTTCAGGATACGAAGCATAAAAGAAACAGCGTTTGTTAAAAACGTGTTTGTTTCACATCATTGCAACACGTGCAAGAATCCATCAGAGAACTTCTGGTGCTGAAGCAGCGGTGTGAACGTACCAGCAGAGTGCCACAGCTGTGAAGCTCGCCAAGCAGCACACTCCCATCGTGGAAGAGGTGAGCGGAGCGGATGCTGCTGTAAAGGTGACGGAGCTCGGGTTGCAGCCGTGCATCCAGCTGAGTGTTGATGTAGAACTCCCAGGGATTGGCCGGCTTCTGAACCTGCATTCATGTTAAACACAGCGAAGCTCAGACGGTCACTGAACATGTGAAGCTAACACTTCACATCTGTTACGGGCTGCTCTCAAAACCTTTTACACCTTTTCTTTTACAGATTAAAACACTGAATAAAATTAATGAGGCAAGTTTTGTTTTTACTAAGTTAAACACAAATTATAAAAACATCTCAACACTGTGTATTACAGAAATGACAGTGGTCTCTTCGTGGTATCCACAGCGGTGGGCCAATCATGGAGATGGACAGGGAATGCTGTGCTCTCAGATGGGGGGAGATCTTCATCTGCAACACAGATCACCACCATCTTACCTTTAGAACCATCCTCTCTGAGGTCCTGGGGTCAGTAGCCTGGTAGACGGTTGCAAAAGCGCCCACACCAAGGACGCAGTCGACTTGCAGAGAAGCCTTTCCTGCAAGAAGCCAAACACTTTCTGTTGAACACACACTCTGTGGTGGCACTTTTATTCACTTGAGCTCAATGTCCACTCAGTTTAAACTCCTCTGGTCTGTTTTGGACCCAGCTTGAAAACTGGACTGTGAGACTTCGTGGCTGCACACGTTGACCAACAGGAAGAGGTTTGTGACATCAGTGTCACCCAGTAACTAAACAGCCTCAGCCTGGAATCATAAAAACCTTCAGATGTTAAGCAGGATGAAGATTTCTTCAAATCACATCTGTAATTTTATCTGCCAACAAGCATATTTCTAATTTTCACAAATGCAGTTCTCTTCTGTCATTTTGTAAACAAATATCCGTGTTGCTGGGTTCTGGCAAGACTAAGAAATTTAAAGACACAGCACCTTGTAGCTTATTTACTGTATTTAGCCTTATAAAGGAAGAGTTCCAACATTTTGGGGAATACATTAATTTCTTGTTGCCACCATGACATTCCAGGCATCCAGGGCCTGGTTCTCGCTCCCCATACCACAACTTGCAGATGAGAGAAAACGTGTTAATTACAGAGATGCCCAGGAGTTTGTCGGTGTATTTTTCAGCTTTGGACAGAGCCAGGTTAGCTGCCTCCTGGCTGTAGAGCCAGTTAGTGAGCAGACATCTGAACAGCTGCATTTCCCACTATGTCAAACCATTCCTAAGAAAATAATAAAAAACATGACAACTGCAGCCCTGTACTGACCCATGCTGATGGTCATCTTTGGGGTGATGGTGGGTACATTGCGCTGCCAGGTGATGCAGTTGGGGTGGGAGATGAGAGGTGGGCTGAGTGTAGACAGCAGATCAGAGATCAGTTTATCGTCCCAGGGATTGGACACCAGCTGCACTGCCCCTGTTCTGGCTGTGTACATAGACATAGCGGTGCTGGGCCTCAGCCCTCGCTCTGGACTCATCATGGGTTCATCCACAGTGCAGAACTGAGCTGGATGCACCGGACTCATGGGCACATCGGTGCAGAGCTCTGGTTGCTCAGGACTCATGGGCACATCCAAGGTCCCGCTGAGGACAGTGCCCGCTGTACCAGGTCGATGAGGACTCAGGAAGGCATCCAGGTCTGACTCAACTATGACACCAGGACTTCTGAGTGCCAGCCAGTCTGGTCTGAGAGTGCACTCTGGGCTCATGGGAGCATCATGGGCTGTATTATGGGCTTGTGCTGGACTGGTAGGTTTGTCTAGATCTCCCAAGACCTTGGGTCTGACTGAACCCTGAGGTTTCTTTGGAATCTGAGACACCGGTTGATGAGGCTGCTCTGGGCTCATGTACACCTCCCAGCCTGGTCCTGCAGCCCTGGAGACTGAGGAGTCTGTTGGACAGTGTGTCTGGTCTCTGAAGGAGAGCACAGCAGGAGGAGGCTGCACCATGGTGATGGAAGAAGTGGTCAGGCAATGATGGGCCGGGGCGAGCCCTTCACCCACAATGGTGCCTTGTCCCTCGGAGGAAGGAACGAGCTGAGGGACGGCCGTTTCAGAGAGCTTCTCATCAGATGGACTCTGCTCCAGGATGGGGCTGAGGGAGGGGGCAGGTGAAACAAATGACACAGATGCAAAAGGTGGACTCATAAAAGTCATTATGAGGTTACAATACTGTACTCTGCCCTTTGTGTGGTGCCACAACTACAAATATTTCAACTATATAATGTCAGAAGATTTCCCAGAGCTCAAAAACAATGCAATGCCCTTTCCACAACTTTGACAGTACAAACCATGAAAACTGAGTAGTAACAGATTGGTTACCTGAGTTTCTTTATCTGACCTCTGATGAAAGCTCCATCATCAGCATCACAGTTGTTCTCTGAGAGTGAAATAAATCCCTTTTAACAAACTGCAGGAAGGCTGCACAATTAGCATCTCTAGGTCAGACACTGGATTAGCTATCGTTGAATATTTTGCAGTGTCTGAGATGTTTAGGTCCAGTTACCTTGGTCTTTGTAAAAGCTATCGCTGTTGAAAGGAGCTTTGTGCGTAAATGGAGTGGAGACAAACTTGGCCAACATGGCGAAGTCTGTGGTGCTGTTAGGACACGCAGCCAAGGAGTTGTAGTGAACTCCCCACATGGTGCTCTCATCTGGCATCAGATCCGGAGAAGTGTCCTGATCAGTAGACACAGACGGGTATCAGAGAAAATACACATCAACCAAACACTAACACTACTATCGTCCTCCCTGTGTTAGCTCGGAGCATTTGCCTGTAGAATGATACAGGTGGTGCTGTTCCAGAAAGACAAAATGAATACCACAATAATGACTGAATGACAGTTTGCATTGGCTTTGTAGAATTATTTAAATGACGACAGCTAGTGCCCTACTGGAGCAGTGAAGCTGAGTGCTACTGGTAAATATCTCCATTAGCCCTGTACTGTGCCTGCAAGATTTCACAGTAAAGTTGCTCATGTCTTTGTAAAATCACCATGAACACCAGCTTTGACCTCTTTATTGTGATTTACATTAAAGTGATGCTGTGTTTGTGACCACGTCAGCTTCAGATCTGTCAGTACTCACATTAGGTTTCTCTGGTTTAGACAGTGGGATCTGAGCCAGAGCTCTGATTGGTTTAGCCTTGTCACATGCAGAGGGAGCTGCACCACTGAGGGACAAAACAACAATCATTGTTCATATACATAATCATTCAAATCAGTTATTTCATCATCCACTCAATGCAAAAAATGAAAGAAGACACTAAATATTAGTACATGTTGAACACAAAAACATCTTGAACCATTTAGTGGACGGCATATTAAACATGAAAAAAGAAGCTAAATTTCAGTTTTACAGCATTTATTTAGGATGTTCATTCTGAGTGTTGCTACCACTTTTGTGGCCTGAAAGCCATATTTACCTGCTGTTTTCTTTGTCATTGTTGTCCTGGAAGATGGTGAAACGGGCAGTCGTAGGAGGGTAAACGAATGAGGAGACGCCGCCTTCAAATCAGTGAAAGACACACATTAAGCAAGCAGTGTTTCCCCCTGAATATTTTTCAGGCACAGTGGTAAGAGGATGATAGAGGTTTTGCACACACACAATAAAACCTTTGGTTGCTAGTTTCCATGTGAAGACTACACAAAATAAGGAGTATGAATAAGATGCAGTTATTGCACACAAATAAATGTCAAAGCTACCAGTTAATTCACAGTCAAAGAAGATAGAACAATCTTTATGAAAAATAGAGATAAAATACACATAATGAAATATATCAAATATTAAAACTATAATAAGCTTTCAAATTGGTGCAAACTGCAGTTTGGCCTGCTCAGCAATGTGAAACAAATTACTCGTCTTCTTATCATGAGCAGTGTGCATGACTCACTGATGCACTTAATGTTTCTTGGCACTGAAAAAATGTCACCACAGCATCATTGTATGAAAATTCTCCCCCAGCTGTGGGTCCCAACCAGATGTTCTGTTTGCTTCGATCCACTGGTTCACCCATAGCCTGTTTACCTGCTTCAGTGATGCTAATGCAAACGCCATGTTACTGCTGTGAACATTTACCATTTCTCTGGTATCCGCCCTCACACTCCTTCTCCACAGTGCGGAGCACTGATGTGTTGTGGAACGGGTCCTCTATGAGAGTCGGGGCCTGGAACATGTCCATAATCACATCTGGATGACACAAAACCAGAGAAGTGTTACTCACTGTATTCACACAACGCTGAGGGTGCAGTGAAACATGAATAAAATGAAGGTCTTTATTTCAAACAACTGAAAAGATCCAAAGTGAGCAGGAACAAAATGCTGGAGTTTAGTGGCACTGCTGGGTATTAAACACTCATATTCAGACAGAAAAATCCCAGAATGTAGGGAAGGTCCCTGTCATATCACCAGAACATAAGAGGTGGGTGTGCTCACCCAGTGCTTCCCGTGTGTTGACAGTGGGTGACGGCAGCACCCTTGACGGTGTGGCCTGAACAAAGCCCAGTGAATTGTTAGGGGTGATGTGAGACACATTAGCTGCTCCTCCCTGTGACACTGAGAGAGACAGGAGGAGACTGTTGGCTTGAAAACACTCACATGATGCTACATTAGAGGGTTTACTTGTGAACAGCTGCTTACCATTGAGTTTCTCCTCAGGCTCTGGCAGCTGACTGGCATCCCTGAGAAAAGAGCAATTACAAAAATCTCAATCGACTAGTTGAGGTAAAGAAAAAGACTGTGCTGCTCAAACCAACACAAACTGTTAGAGAAATTAAAAAGCATGTCAAAATCCTACAGAAGGAATTATCCAGACACTGAGTTTTTTTTTTAAATGATGCACGAATCAGTTTTACCACTGTAGTTGTACAATTCTTCAAAGACAGGACAACTATTATTTGCACAAGCCTAAAAAACATGTTGCATTTTTAGGCACATTTAGAAGCTACTCACTGATAAGCAGTGTTCTCCGAGCTGCTTGGCTGAAGCTGAGCATCCTGGCACAGAATGTCAGTGTTCATGGCAGTGGAGCAGGCAGATCTGTTCATCTGCTCAAAGCCTATGGGCTGCTGAGACAGACAACTGGTCTGTGGACACATACGTCTTTGGTAAATGAATATTCCTATCAGCCAGGACAGAGTGATGATGGGATACGTCTGAGCTTGTGGCGTTTCCGTCAGCAGCCCAGTTGTGGTTCTGCTGCTGTGGAAGTTCAGCGATGGCAGTGAAGGTCGGCTCAGAGTGTAATCTCAGGCCAAGAGGGTGACTGCTGCTCAGCCGGTGTGAGGGTCGAGGCTGCCCGAAGAACTGCTGTATAGGATTAGGGTTCAGACTGGTGGCTGTTTCTACTACAGACAGCTGTACAAAAAAAAAAAAGGTTGGAATTTCATGTAAATTAAACAACTGAACCTGCCGCAGTACACACACACACACACACACATGAATTTGCAGTCTTACCCTCTGTGACGAGCTGTGGCCGGTTATCCCTCCACAGGTCTCCAGATCCTGGTTAAGTTTATCCAACACTGATTTCATCTTCAGAAATTTCTCCTCATTCTCCCTCAGTCTCTTCTCTACTTCAGACAAAAATCAAACAGATCTTAAGACAAAAGGTAAAAACTCACTAAATAAATTAACTCCTTGGAGTCTTGTTTTAATCATTTCAGTATTTGTTTTTAGGTCTCAACCATCTCTGAGCAGATAGAGGTTCTTTCCCTCTGCAGCTGGATTCGTAAAACAACTTACTCATTTCTCTCTCCTTGTTTTCCTTCTTCTCCTGGAGGTTACAGAAGTATTTTGCTGCTCTGACCTCCTCAAAGCAGAATTCAGATCCTTCACAGACAAGTTCATCCTTTATGTACTCTGACACAGTCTGAACACTGGAGCCTTGGCTAGGAGGAAGCATCCCTGAGGTCTCAGAGCGGGAGACTCTGTTGGGGGAGACGAGATTGGATTATCTAGCTTTAGTGGATACACACTTGTAAAGCACTTTCAAGTATTCACAGTACACAGGCAATGCTAAATAAAATGACTGTTCAATTCTCAAAATAGTTGCAGATTATGAAACATGTACTTACACTAGGATGGTTTTATTTGTAGGTGGTTTGGATAAACAATCCACAGAGGTCTGTAACAGAGGACAAAGCGGATTAGGAGGACAGAAGGGTGAGCCTGGACTTACTAAACAATTATTATGAATATTCAGACGCACAATGGCCTGAGCAGCTGGTTCTCTGTGGGATGACATCTGATTGGTTAAACGGGAGGTCTGCAAAGGGATTTGAACTCCTGCTTTACAAAAAACAAAATCAAACATATAATTAGAAGTTGACGATATACAGAAAACATCTAATAAACAAATAAGTGAATACACTTACCAGATCCTGGCATCTGGCTTCTGGTTCTTGTTTGAAACTGCCTGCAGATCAGATTTTGTTTTTTTTTAAGCACACTAAGGTTATTGTTCTGCATGTTGGTAATATATTGGTTATACACGTACAGTACACAAACAGCTATAGTATGTAACACTGAGTAAGAAAGAAAGAAAGTCACTTTCGGCTTTTCCCATTTAGGGGTCACCACAGCGAATCGTCACACTGACGACTTGCATGTTGACATTTGACATGTGTTTTACACCAGATGCCCTTCCTGACACAACCCTGATTCGAACCCGGGGCGCAGCTTTCTCTACCCTTTTTTATACTCCTTACTCAGTGTTACTGTAACGCTGAGTAAGGAGTAAAAAAAAAAGGGGGAGGAAAAACTGGATTAACAACTTTGTATTTTAAACACCTCTGTGATCAAAAAACAAACAAACACACACACATTATCTAGTTTTCCAGACTGCACATAAGGAAATACATCAACAATGCATAAAATGAGTACAGACTACTCTGTGGACCGCTGAGTATTTTGGCATGAAAACAGACACATTTCTAGAGAACCCAAAATAAACAGATGAAAACTATACATGCTGAAGTGATTACCCTGAGCAACTCTACTGTCTCATATTCACAGCAACTGTTGTTTGTTGTTACCTGTATTCATGGAGAACAGTGTCGGCTGGTTGGGCTTGGTTCTCCATTGCTTTGTGGTACACTGCATCGGCCTGTTCATTCATGCTCCTGTTTTCATACTGCTGTGCCCAGGCCACATAAAGGGCAGCAGCCCTAGTGCCAATGCCCTTACTGTAAATATGACTGTACAGCACAATAGGGTCGGAACAGTAACTTGCCTGTAGGACAGAGTTGAAATGACAAAATCGCAGAGATGAGATTTTATCTGTCAGAATAACAAACCAACTGTGTCTGCGTGACTGCTGCACAGTAATGTAACATTTAAATCTGACTTACGCATTTGATACAGTAGTTCACATATCTGGTGTCATTTGCGTATCGATCGTCATTCAGAAATCTCTTTACAAGACTGTCAAATACCACAGCCAACCCGCTGCCACTGTCTGTGGGTAGCCTTTGCTCCATTAACTCCACAAACCTAGAAGAATATACAGTGACATGCACATTCAGTTACTCTCTCAGCTGCCAGTGATGTGACAATAAAGGTGAAGATAACGGTTTCTTTGACAAATTTAAAACATTAAATAAACAATAAACTCACTTGTCCCATGGATCCAGTGGATCGTCTCCTGTATATGAGTTCAAGCTGCTTTCAAAACACCTAAACGGGTACACGATCGCAGAATTAAAGGAAAGTAAGGTCACGTTTAACTGCTTTGTTCTATAAATGTCATAATATAGCCATATATCAATGTTAGCTAAAGCTAACAGTAAGCTAATACTCCGCAACGTTAAACTTCACTTTGTTACTCACTGTAGATAACGGGCGATATCCATTTCGCTTTGATTTAGAACAAATCCTTTAAACTCGCAAAGACTAAGTTAACAAACAGTTTAACGTCATAAAATGTCTAGTTAAATTCACAAAATATCTTCGTTAGATAGCTGAATATTCATCCTGGTTTGCTCCGAGCAGCAGCTTGCTGTTCCCAAAAAGAATTCAAGTTTCGCGCTCGGCCAATAGAAACGCGAGCGTGTCACACAGTATCGGAAAACCACGCCCCTAATGCTTGACGATAATTCCAGAGTAAAAAAACGAAGGTTTTCTCATTTTGGTTGTGCACGTTTAAAGGTATAAATTGTTATAGTATATTCAGAAAAGTAGAAAACAAGACAAGATAAAATAAATACAATATTCATTTACAAAAATCAATTTAAAGGTATTGAAGACATACTTTATTTATTAATTTCTTAATTCAAAGTTAAATATATGATTATGTACACCAATGAATGAAACCTGTAACAAACTTAATAAAATGATTTAATTTCCAAAACGTTTACTGAAAAAATACATGGCAATATTTAACTGAGGCACATATGTATATATTACATACACAACAATATACGGCTATAGGGCTGTCGGCAAATGCTGTTTTGCTCGAAAGATCTGAAGCTATGGATGCAAATATAGCCTATCCAAAAGACAACAGAACGTCAGCTAAGGCTAAAACACTAAGTGTTTACTATGGTATCACGAAACGTGTAGATTTTACTGAGAGACAAAGTTAATCTGTGCCAGTGATGAAGGTGTAAAAGAAAATTGGTCGCTGTGACGGCTGTCCGGATGCATGAAGACTGAGCAACCCGTGAGAAGCAGTCTAAGAAACCCCTTACATGCAGGCGAGAAGCAGAGATCGCGACGTTACGTAGCCGCCATTTTGTTTCACCGGGAGTAAAGAAACCAACCAGAGAGGCGCCGGGCGTGAATTTTTTTCTTTTATTTGGACTACCCTCAACACGGCGGATCAGCATCGTGCATTCACGTTTAGATTCGCATGGTATGTACACATCAAAGTGAATGGTCGCAACAAAAACACGTTGTGTTTTGTTGTTGATTGATTTCTGTGCGCAATAATGTTGGATGCGTCGCACAACCGGTCAGTGTTAGCAACATAGCAGCTCGTTTTCGTGGCTAGCCGGCATTTTAAAAAATGGCCCACTTTGATTCACGGCCAGGTATTCTGATGTGGTATAAACATCTGATGTGCACCAACTTTAGAGCAACTCCCGCTACGTGAAAGGATTTGGTTCTGAGTTTAATTTTGGTACGGCTATCCACGTTGAGTTTGCATCTCCACGCGTGCGGTGAGTACTGGGGCCTGTGATCTGCGTGAGCCAGCGCCACTAGCTAATATTAGCTAACAGAGGCGTGGTGGATATGTATAAAACCAGCTGACGTTTGCGGGACATTATTATTTTCTGTATTGGTTGTATAGCTTGAACTGTATTGTTTCGTTTCCCAGTGAGGATTGCATGTTGAAGTTGATAAACGCGCCATCCAAAAGCTGTTTCAGTTTTGTACATGCGTACAGCGAGCACAGCAGTCAGATAATGTTACACTTTGTAAACGTTGTCCAGTCATGAATGGTGGCGCCAAACCGCAAGGATGATTGTTGTTCCAGTTTTTTTTTAAATACCTTCAACACGTCCGGATTAATCTCCCGAGGGACTACCGGGGCAGAGATGATTTGTTGGGCCTCTGTTGACTCCTGTTATACATGTCAGTTGGATTATTTCTCCTGGCACCCATAAACTCAACACTACCTTAGAGCTGAAATGATTATTCAGCAATTCCAAAAGTTTACTAGCACCAGCTTCTCCAGTTTGAGTATTTAACTGAGTAAATTCTATCTTTGTATTTTTAGTAAATTAAAAACAATCCGAGTATGTTATCTTAAGTTCACAGGGAATAATAATAATGGCCATTATTAAGTGTCATGAGTATCATGAAAAGTGCTGTATTATTATTATTATTATTATTTTTATTGTTGTTATTATTATTGTTAGATACTGGACAGTAGGGATATTTAAGAAAATAACTATCAGCCCTTTCAGTAATTAACACTGTTAATCACCCTTACAGTACTTCTATTATACATTTAAAACATTACTTGCTCAAACTTGCATAATTTAGATTTCTGTGTGGTAATAACTTCACACAAAAAGTGGAAGCGATGTAATAAAACATAATACTGTATGAAAACAGCATGAACCTAAACAGTTAAGTTTTTGAAACAAGAATTTCACAAAGGCCTTCTCTCTAAAGCACAACACAGATGACCCACCATAGGTGATGTATCGTGGTACGAATTTATAATGAATTTGTGATTAATGTAGCTACAAAAACCAGCCTGACACTTACTGCCATGTCTGAATGGTGATTCAGTCTCAAACTACAGTGGTGATTGTTACTGTTTTCATCTGCACAGATGTCTGGAGACATGGCCACAGATCATGTAAACGGGAATGGTACAGAGGAACCAATGGACACTACTGCAGCGGTTACCCACTCAGAGCATTTCCAGGCTTTGCTGGAAGCTGGTTTACCTCAGAAGGTTGCTGAGAAGCTAGATGAACTTTATGTAGCAGGTAAGCAACTGGTTCATCTCACACTGTGCTCTGCCATGGTCTTGTGCCTCTACCTGGTTTGAGACAAACACATTCATGTAAAGGTTAGGTACCAGTTCACATCTTGGTAGAGATATGGAGTAATGTAAGATTACTTAGTTTTCAGAAGTACTTGTCTGTTGTAGGATCAGTGCTGCGACTTAGAAATCTTTTGTTCCTTTTAAACAACAAAGGCCATTCACTCATCATCAATTCCACTATTGTAGAGTTGGCTAATACACAGCACAGAGTCTACCACGAGCTAACTAACATTCACATCTCTTAAGTAAAATAATCAGGGACAAATGAATAGATTATTCCTGGTTAGCTTTGTTATGGGTCAGAGAAGTACCTATTTTGTTGCACATCAATTAAACACTTCAGGTCTTAGTCCAAGTATTGTCATTCTGTGAAGTAAACTGAATTGAATGGGTGTAGTAAAGAAAGTAGTGAAACCAGCTGATACTGTGGCATATGCACAACAATAGAACAGCTGTTGGGTTCCTTGAGCAGGAGCTGAAGAAGGATGTTACTCAGCAGGAGATGAAAATGACTGCTCATTGAAACCGTAGTAGTCAATAAAAAATGTTTTGCAGGACCTCGATGTCTGGAAATGTCGTTTTAATAGCAATTCTGTCTGAGTGACGCTGTCCTTTTGTTAACTGATTTTTGCTGCATTTTCAAGGGGGTTTGACGCTGTATGGGTCAGTAAATTATGAACACATATATAAACTTGGAAATAATCAGGGCTTTGTTCCTGAGCTAGGATTTTGTCTTATTCCTGTACAGATAAATTGTTATTAAGCTGCTGCTACTATACAGTTGCTTCATAGCTGCAGGGGTCATCTGTTCTGTTTGTCAGTGTTGACCTTCTCTGATGATCAGTCAGCGGGTTTGATATATATATACACACACACACACACACACACACACCATATTTACAGTTTCTTGTATTTCCCAGGCCTGGTAGCGCACAGTGACTTAGATGAAAGGGCAATTGAAGCTTTGAAAGAATTCAACGAGGATGGAGCCCTTCAAGTGTTGGTCCAGTTCAAAGAGAGTGATCTGTCACATGTGCAAGTAAGCTGTGAACAGGTGGTGTGGTTTAACACTCCTTAAAGATGATTAAATCCTAAAGTTTCTTCTTTTTTTTTTCTTTTTCTTTTTTTTGTAACGCATGTTCCGGTGTCACCCTTCAAAAGTATTTATGTGCATTTTTTTGTCTGTTTGTAAGCCAGTTCCTCTCTCTTTCAGAACAAAAGTGCCTTTCTCTGTGGGGTAATGAAGACTTACAGGCAGAGGGAGAAACAAGGGACTAAAGTTTCCGATTCCTCTAAAGGACCTGATGAGGCTAAAATCAAAGAACTCCTGGACAGAACCACCTACACACTTGATGTAACAACAGGCCAGAGGAAGTATGGCGGCCCTCCACCTGAGTCTGTGTACACAGGTGCCCAGCCCACAGTTGGAACGGAGGTAGTTTCTTCTGGTCTCTTATTACTCAACCAATTAATGAATTCAGATTGACAGGAAATAGTTTTCTCAGAACCATTGTTACTTTAAGCCCTGGTACTTAATATTTCTATGTAAAGCAACATTGGCAAGCTGCCTACTGGGATGTAATCCATAAAGTACTATCTATACAAGACATTTTGGGTGGTTGTTGAACAGATAAGTGTGACTACAGATATTTAAATGAACATAACCCAAGTGACTTGTAGTACTTGTTTACTTTTGCTTTATCTTGGTTACTTTAAGTTTTAACTTGTTCCAACTGGTGGCAGGATAATTGTCATTGATTGAAATGACAAATTACCTGCTGTCAGTGACACTTCTGTTGCAGCTTGAAGTTGTGTAGTGGCTGAAATCTTAAAAGACTGAGATTTTACCTTGTTCATAGACCCTGAAGGGCTCATTTCTGTCTTTGTAGATTTTGTCAGTGTTCCCTGCTTTATGTATCTGTAAATATTCATTTCCCCCCTCTTGCTAGATATTTGTTGGAAAGATTCCTCGTGACTTGTTTGAAGATGAGCTGGTTCCTCTTTTTGAGAAAGCCGGGCCCATCTGGGACCTCAGGCTAATGATGGACCCACTGAGCGGCCTGAACAGGGGCTATGCTTTCGTCACGTTCTGCACTAAAGAAGCAGCCCAGGAGGCAGTGAAGCTCGTAAGTTTGTCAGGAATATAAGATCTGAGTTAGGATAGCAGAGATTGTACAGCACGCATTCGTTGTCAGCTGTCACTGTAAATATGTTCTCCATTTTTATATGTTGTTCTTTATCCACAGTGTAATAATCATGAGATCCGGCCTGGCAAGCACATTGGCGTGTGTATATCTGTTGCCAACAACAGGTTATTTGTTGGCTCCATTCCCAAGAGTAAAACAAAGGAACAGATTGTAGAAGAGTTTGCTAAAGTCACAGGTAAATGATTCTAATGTAGTGACTTATTGATCAGGCCCCACTGCTTCAGTTTTGACACTGACTTAACCAGTTATTCCAGACATTCCACTCTACAGCACTTCCGCTTAATGACACCCATTTCACTTCCCTGTGTCTACCTGCAGAGGGCCTCAGTGATGTCATACTGTATCATCAACCCGATGACAAGAAGAAGAACAGAGGCTTCTGCTTCCTGGAGTATGAAGACCACAAAACAGCTGCTCAGGCTCGCCGTCGGCTAATGAGTGGCAAGGTGAAGGTCTGGGGCAACGTGGTGACGGTGGAGTGGGCCGATCCTATCGAAGACCCTGACCCAGAGGTCATGGCCAAGGTGAGCTTCAGAAAGCATATTATGGTTGCGTATTCTTGTAAAGTATTGCATCTTCGTAGTACAGGTATTCTTTAGTACACATCGTAAAAATCAAATTTTGGTCTGAATAGTAAAGAGAGTGGTGGACTTGAGGTGTGACCTCCCTCTGTTCATGTTGCAGGTGAAGGTTTTGTTTGTGAGAAACCTTGCGAATGGTGTCACAGAGGAGATCCTGGAGAAGTCCTTCAGCCAGTTTGGAAAACTGGAGCGAGTGAAGAAGCTCAAAGACTATGCCTTCATTCACTTTGAAGAGAGGGACGGTGCAGTGAAGGTAC